GGGGGGGGGGCAGCAAAGCCAGGCAACGCGAGCCGGGGCGGGCGCCGCGCATTGCCGCCCCGTCCGCAGGAGCCACCACCGCCGCAACGCCCCGGAACGTGAGTATGAGAAATTCAGCTCGGATAGAGAAACAAGAGAGGCTGCTGAGTGATGAGGAGGCGCCACAAAGCGCGCGCGGGAGTTTGAAACTGTTATTTCTTTCCGATAGACGACCGACGAGGATGGGAATAAGAAGAAGCGGGAGAGGGGGGTTGGTTCATGGTATAGGCATACTAATTGGAATCCGGTCCTCTTTTGACGATGGTTGTTCACGATGGCTCTTCTAAAGCCCGCTCGGATCGGCCTGCTGTTGGTTTTTATCATTACATAGGATGGTTCGGTTGATGGCAGGTGATGGTTATGGTTCGCGACGCGCTGCGGGGAGTGGTCGGAGTAGGAGCGACCACAGAGAGTGCCGTATGACTCTGCGAATTCTATTCAGGGACCGCAACAATGGCCTGCAGCCACCCCGCTCCCCCCTGCGCTCCCTCCCTGCCCGCCGCCCCTGCCCTTACCCTCACAATGTCAGTGATGGTTTGCAATCGATTAGCGGCGGGGTTCGTCTCTCTCGCACTCGCTCTACGGGCCGCGGCCTCGTCTCTCTCGCACGATGAGCAGCAGGGGCAGAGGCTCGGCCGGCAGGCACAGGGCGGGCCTGGGCCGGGGCCGGGGCCGCGTAACCCTGCGTCATGGCTTCATATTAGAGAGGCTCAACTGCTCCGACCAATCAGGCCGCCGCGCCTGCCGCTCTGCCGCCGCCGGCCCCTGCTGCTGCGCCCCCGAGGCTTGTGAGGGGTCGAAATACACCAGCCCGGCTCTGCTCCCCCGAGTCTTGAGAACAACGGTGCGCTCGAGTTGAAGCGAGGAGCGTTCGTGTAAAAATTCAAAAAAGAAGAAAAACAAAACATAACAAAACAGAACAAAAACGGACGGAGCTGTGCGTTTACGACTCGTATTAACAGGCCATTATTCCCCTTGAACCGAAAGCGTGTAATTACAAATGACAAAAACCGGAAACGCAATAAACCGCTTGGACAGCCAAAAATTCTTGATGTCGCAAAACGCGGCTACCTAACTTCCCAAGTTGTACTGTACTGTACGCATTTTACTTTTCCATTTTGAAGGTATTTTATGCAATGGCTCTCCCAAGACGCTATCTTGACGCTATCTTAGTGTGAATTCCTCTTTCAGGGCAATGAGCGAGAAGCTGCTGCTTGCCGGTTTCCATATCTTATTTGAGCGTCTAACGTGTCGCTTAATCCTCCCTCCAGCTTGGCACAGTTCGTCAGGTGAGGGCCCCCGCCTACCCGCGCCCCGCGCCCTGCACCCCGCCCCCGCCAGGGCGGTCTGCCATAAACCTGCCTGGGTCGGCGCCACCCGCAGAACGGACGGGGCTACTTGACGGGTCTGGCCTGGCCGTCCTGCTCATTTCGGCCGTCGACATGGAGGCGGCAACGACCACCACCCCGCTGGGATCGGACGCCCTGAACGCCTGCCCCGCCGTCTCCCTCTTCACGCTCTTCTTCGCGGTGCTGAGCGCGCGGCGGGACCGCGAGGAGCTGCAGCGGCCGCCGCCGCCCCTGCATGAGTCGGCCATCTTCGACTTCATCGTCGTGGGCGGCGGGTCGGCGGGCTGCGTCCTGGCCAGCCGCCTCAGCGAGGTCCGGCACTGGAGGGTGCTGCTCCTGGAGGCCGGCGGCCCGGAGCCCCCGGAGACCCAGGTCCCCGCCACCTACAGGTGCGTGGCCCTGGACTTGGGCGACCCCCTGACCCCCAGTATCACTGCTTCCTGCACGCCCCGCCCTGTCCACCGGGTCCTGCCGTCATACCCGCCAAACATTTCGCCCACACCGCCTTATCTCCCGACATGCGAGTGTTCACGTCGGGAATTCCCCGTGGCCTGGTCACTCCTCACTCCGGCCGTGGCATGCCATTTCCTTGCTCTTTTTTTCGGTGAGAAACCCATCCGCTTCCGCAACATATGTATATCCCCCCCACTCTCCCTCCCC